TGGGGCCGGCCCGGTGGCGCACTGCTACAGTGCGCCGCTTGGGAGGGCGGCGGCGCTCCCGCCGAGGGTTCGGATCCCACATACAGACCGGTTCCCGCTCACTGGCTGAGTGAGGGGCGGGCGCAGCACCGAGGGTTGCGATCCCGTTGCTGGTCCCGGTCCGGTACGGACGCGACACTGAGGGTTGCGGTCCGTTGCCGGACACGGAAAAAAGACAAAAAAAAAAAAAAACTGAAAAAGGTGAGCAGTCAGTGAGCATACGGTAAAAGCAGATGTTCTCTTAGTGATACGTGCTAGGATATTGTGATTGATCCCTCTAATGCCTGAAGAATCAGAATCAGATTATAAAGGACTGTAGTGACTAAGTAAAGTACACTAAGGAACATAATGTGATGGCTTCTGATTAATTAATATGCATTTAGAGGCAGGTCTCTGTGCTCTTCTAGAAACCTTTCTTCCTTGACCTTCTCCCCCACCTTCACCAGTATGTTTTTATATTGGAATAAATTTGATGTAAGTAGAATGCAAGCGTGATTTTATCTCTAGTTGTAACTAAATAGTAGACCTACATCAAGAAATTTGTTTCTTGAAACATTTTCAGCAGTTAAGACCAATTTGTGTAGAAAGTAGTGAGGAAAAAAGGGCCAGCTCACTGTGGCTCACTTGGGAGAGTGTGGTGCTGATAACACCAAGGCCACGGGTTCAGATCCCTATATAGGGATGGCCGGTTAGCTCACTTGGGAGAGCATGGTGCTGACAACACCAAGTCAAGGGTTAAGATCCCTTTACCAGTCGTCTTTTTTTTTTTTAAAGTAGTTGAGAAAAAATATATTCAGATAAAATTTTCACTTAATTATTGTAATTTGTTGTGGAAAAGCCTGAAAAAGTGGAGGGAGGGGAGGGCAAGTGTTAAGATGTATAGTGAAAACTGCTAGGTTAATGTAGGTGGTGCTGTTGTTTTCTCTCTTTATTCTTGCATATCCAAAAGTGAGTGTCTTAGCAATGGCGGGTTCATTTCCAGTTGATCTTAGTTCAGTGGATCCTCCTGAAAGCCTGAACAGTCTTGTTGGCCCTCAAAATCAGGGTCCTGGGCATGTTCCACAAAGACCCAAGGTACCTTCAGCTTCTTAATAGCTGAAGAACCAGATTCATTTCTAGATTGAGCTAGATCCATCAGCAGATCCTGATCTCGGCCTACATCCCACAATTCCTCTGGATCCATTATTTCATCATCCCTTCATTTAACACCTACAGTCTGCTAAGTTCTGCACAGTTTACTAACAAAGTCCTTCACTTAAGACCTTATTATATCCTAGGGAAAGAGGGAGTAGGGCTAACATCAGTCAGGGTGAGCAGTTTGAAGAAAACCAAATCCATCAACAGGAAGGGATTCCTTCAGTGTATTCCAGGTTACTTTCAACAGGTTGTTGTATTCTCTTGCAATGAAATACAATACTGTCCCACGTGAAAGACCTTACTGGTATTTTCACATTTACCATCGGATTCAGAGACAATTTGTGTTCTTTTTCTTTGTTTTCTCTGTTCTTTTTTTTTTTTCCCCCACTCACATAATGCATCAGTTATCCACTGCTGTGTAACAAACCACCCCAAACAGCCACCATTTATTTGGCTCCTGATTCTGTGGTTTGGTTGGGCAAATCTCTGGTTTGGTCTGGGTCAGTTCATCTGATCTCTGCAGGCTCACTTGTGCATCTGTAGTTGGCTGGAGAGTTGACTAGTGGCTGCACAGTCTACAGTGGTCTTACTCACAGTCTAACAATTGGCAGGCTGTTGGTCATGCAGACAGAAGGCGGCTAGGTCATGTGTCTCACATAAGCCATCAGGCTAGCTTGGGCTTCCCATGATGGTGGTGGCTGTATGGGTCCCAAGATCAGTAAGAGAGTGGAAGCTGCAAGGCCTGTTGAGGTCTGGGTGTAGAAATTGTACAACAGCACTTCTGCCTCATTCTGTTGGTCAGCTCAAGTCACAAGACCAGCCCAGATTCAAGGGGTGGAGAAATAGATTCTTACTGTTGATGGAAAGATCTGCAACTTTATATTGCAAAGGGTGTAGATGCATTGAAAGAAAGAGTTTGCAGCCATTTCACAATCTAACACACGTTGTAAACTCCTTCCCCCCTGAACACCCTGAAACTCCTAGTGGGTCTTTAGGAATTATGGTACAAGGTTTTGTTATGTAGGAAGTTACGTAATTTAATTTTGGGATGTCTGTCCTATTCTTAGAAGTGGCTGTTACCAGGGACCACTTTTTTTCATTCTGTTTCTAGTAGTAGAAAATAGTGTTTTTCTAACTTCTTTTTGTTTCCTTTTGGGTTAGCACTTACTTGCAGCTTTCTGAGATGGATGCAGAGGGTCTCCATATAATTAAGAATTAACAATGTGATCTATTAATATCACCCATACGAGGCATTAGAGTGAATCATCTACAGACTAAAGACAAACACATGGAGTTTGACTATTCGGTTTACTTGATCAGTCCCCTCAGTGTATTTTAAAGTGTATTTGTGTAACAAGATGTTCATAATAAATAATAATGGCTAACAAGTATTGAGTGCTAACTCTCAGACACTGCCTAAGTTATTTATAGTTATCATCTCATTTAGTGCTCATAACAACACTAAAAGTGCCATTTTAGACTCATAATAAATAATAATGGCTAACAAGTATTGAGTGCTAACTCTCAGACACTGCCAAAGTTATTTATAGTTATCATCTCATTTAGTGCTCATAACAACACTAAAAGTGCCATTTTAGAGATAAAGAAACTTAAGCTTAGAGGTTGGCAGATATACTCAAGGTCATGTGGCCAGTACTCTTCTCTACCAGGCTCAACAAAGAATAATTCATGAATTCAGACTACCGATCCAGTCCTTGAGTGTCATTTTGTAGCTCCACTTTTAGATGTACTGTGGTGTAGGTGTTACACCTGGGTCCACCCCTTCTGTGGCAGTTGAAGTCCTTACACTCCACAGGATCCCAGGTTACACACTAAAGTATGCAGGTTGTTGAGGCTCCTGGGTGCGGATAAGGATGTTCGTTTTAAACCACATGCTTTTGGCTACTGAGCTTACGATTTCAAAGTTGAGCATTTAAGCACAGTGTTAGATTTCTAAAGGAGAGCTCTCATTGAGTGGGAGGAAAGTTGACTGTGGGTTATATTAAATTTTTCTTTTAAAACTAAGGCTCTTTTGTTGTTGTTTACAATTTTAGAATCTCTGAGTTGGAAGAGACTGAAAGTGTCATGAAGTGCAACCACCTGTCTGATGTTTGAACCCTGAGCCTCTGCTCAGACCTCTTTTCCCAAAAGTCAGGAACTCACTCTGCCCCCTGGCAACCCAACCTTCCCTGGCTCTCCTGAATTGGACCCTGACAGCTCTCCAGGACTTTAACCTCTTCTTTACTCCTGAAGCTAAGAAGAGAATCTCTTCTACTTTAGTCCATCTAGGGTTTTTCCTTACATTTTTATAGATTGTGGCATGCATTTTTTTAAACCTTTTTATTTTAAAACAGAAAAAACAGTTATCTGATATTAGAAATCAATAATATTTTTATTGGTCATGAAAAGATCAGACTAAAAGAATTGTGCTATAAATAGTTGCATAAACCTTTTTATTTTAAAACAGAAAAAACAGTTATCTGATATTAGAAATCAAAGAAAATAATATTTTTATTGGTCATGAAAAGATCAGACTAAAAGAATTGTGCTATAAATAGTTGCATTGAAAAATATGTGAAAAGTTTTCATGTACCTATTTGTATAAAGTGACTAGTTCAAATTAACCGTATCTTTGGGTGGCACCAAGTATGTTGGTTTCTTGTGTGGATTATGCTGAAGTTCATGATTTCAGTGGGTCTCAGGTTGGTTGAAGTGCCCATCTTAGTTCTTAAGACTCTGCTCCCAATTGCAAGGGTTGAAAAATTATGTGACGGGTATTAAGATAAGGGATATTCCTAAGACGGAATATTATTTTGTTATAGAAATTTCCAAACATATGCAAAAGTAGAGAGAATAATGTAACATATGCCCATGTACCAGCTTTAACCATTATCCAGGTATGCCCAGTCTTGTTTCAAAGTCAGTCATGGACATATCATTCAAAAGAGGTCTTGAAGCCATTCAGAGGAGGGAACTCTGCTTTGAAGCCCTAATGTTGCCACTTTAATTATTATTTCTACACCTGTATCTAAAGGAACCAACAGGTTTTCTAAACCTGTAATTCTACTTCTCTTCTCCAGGGTCCAGTCATATATGCACAGTTAGACCACTCTGGTGGACATCACAGTGACAAGATTAACAAGTCAGAGTCTGTGGTGTATGCGGATATCCGGAAAAATTGAGAAGACACAGAACATATCCTAAGCAAGCAACAAATCCAAACAGGACTCTTGTGCAGAAAATGTAGCCCATAACCATGTGTGGCCTTGGAGACCCAGGCAAGGACAAGCACATGTGTACTCATAGCGGGAGAAAAAGATATATATAAAGGATATGTATAAATACTCTATTTAATCATCCTGACGTGAGGAGCCACCGTTGCATGATGAAAAGATGGTATAATTCTGCAGATATACAAATTGTCTTGTTGTTTTTGTACTTTCTGTCAGGGTCATTTACAACTGGGAAATTTCAGAAACATTCCTGTCACCATCATTTAGATATGGTTTGCCTTAACAGAGACAGTAGCAGATATTTTAGTATTTCTAGTAGACATGGCCTTTTCATCTGAGGGCTTAACTAGTCTTAGCATTTATTGTAGTTGGAGAATGGAGACTCTACGATGGAAGCACGTCCAAGGTGGCCTTCAACACAGTGTCGGCACCATTTATTTGGTGGTAGCTTTTGGTAAACATCCATTAGCTATGCCCTGGAAGACAGTTTGAAATGTTTTTGTTGTTTTTCTCTCTACAGCAGGGCAATTTTTAGCCTTACACGTTCTGTAGACTTACTTTAATGTTGCACCCTTTAAGTGTGTCATATCCATTTGTGAATTCATAATAGCAAGATAGGCAAAGGATACATGCTGGAATTCACTTCTTCTAGGTACTTTTAGATCAATACCATAGCGATAATTAAAGTAGAAAATCTGGGCTTGCTTGAGGAGTATTGTGCCATTTGGAGAGTAAAAGGTTATCAGTTAATATTCTTTGCTGAAGTCCTTCCTGCTTGAGATAAGAGTCCCCACACAGCTGAAGGACAGGAGTTTCTTTCCTACTAAGTAGGCAGCAATGGGGTCATTAGATAGATTGCCACTCTCCTGGATCCGAGAGCTCTCTAGAGATTCACCTTCTCTATAAAGCTTCAGTCATGCTTCCAGCCAGAGGCAGCAGCAGTCATGGCTTTATAATATCTTCAGGGTGCTGTAGAGACCTTTGAAACTGAAAAGGGTCAAGATTTTTTGAAGTCAAGTGGGGCTAGTATTGCTACTTTGGGAATCTCTTCTCCGTTTCTGTGTATTGTTTGCTTTTTTTTGTTTGTTTGCTTTTTTCCCTCCCCTCCCCCCCAATTACATGGAATTGATAAACAATAAGATAAGAAAAAATAGAGACAACTTGGGGATCCTTCCCCAAAACTGTTTCTCCCATTAACTACCCCCCACCCCACCTCAAATCTATCAGTTTTTGACTGGTAATGAAAAGCATGGTGAAGATCATTAAACTTTTATTTATATTGTCATTCTCCCATTTTCTTGATTATTTTGTTTTAAAATAATATTTTTCGCCTTTAGAATTGTCTGAGAGCCCCCAGTTATGGAAAGAATACCGTCTAGATGGTCTGCAGAACATGTTAGGGTTGACAGTGAGGGTGACTTTAGCTTTTCTCCCGTTTAGTTTGAAGTTCCCTGTGAGCTGCTTCCATGTCCTTCCCGTCGTCTGTCATGTTTGGGGCTGTTTGAAGGCCCAGTTCTAAAAGAATTCACAAAGGTGATAAAGCAGGATTTAGATATAAAGATGCGTGTGAGACGCTATAACAGAGGAGGGGACTGTGAGCTTCAAAACTGACTGTCGCACACAGGAGGGCTTTTATTTCCGGAGGAGCTGTTTGTCGCTCTCCCCGGCTGTGTATGGAGGTGAGCGGGGAGCAGTCTCGTCACCCCGAGGCCGGGGAGGGGACAGGGGACCTCCGCGCCGCAGAGAGACGCTTCCCAAAGTGGTCGACGGCGCCTTGACCCTAAAACCTTTCTGCATCCATTTTGGAAATGACAGGAGCATTTAGGAGACAGGAGGGGAGGCAGGCGGGGATGGTCACCATTCTTCAGACGGATGCCAAGATAATGCCAGTCTTGGCGAGCCTTTGCCACTGTGCGAGCCACACAGCCGACCGAGGCGGGGTTTGAGGTGGGACGGACACGAGTCGTCGACAGACCACGTGCGAGGTTTCCTTACCGTCGCTTTTGACAGAAAAGGAGCGTTCTCCTTTCCTCCCTTCTCAACAGTTCCTGGGAGTAGACTGTACGTGCTGACATTCCTGCCGTCCGCTTTCGCTGTCAGGACCGGGAGCCGCGTATCGGGGAAGCCGGTGCTCTGGGCCCGCTCCCCGCCGCCTGCCCGGGCCTGGCTCAGCCGCACGGACGGAGCTGCACGGACGGAGCTGCTCGGGCTGCTCGGGCGCGGCCTGAGCATCGCAGGGTGGGGCCGCCCGCCCCAGGGCACGCGCTGTCCCTTGGCTTTTTGTCCCTTTCTCCTGTGCCTCAGCATTCCTGTGCCTAACTGCAGATGACAGCAGTGGGGTTGCTTCTGAGCAGCAGACCTGCCCTTTCCGTGTCTTCTTCCTGGCAGAACAAGACCTCCTAAAATTGTGTGTGAATCCTGTGCCCCTAAAGGGATTAGGTAGAGAGGAAAATTCCCAACCATCTGTGGTTGTATCCACCAAGGGAAAACCAACAAGCTCATTATTATTCTTTGCTCTTTTTCAATTGTAACTTTTGTGAATATTTTAATACATCTTTTTCAATTTCTCAGTTGTGTTGTGTGTTTATTTTAATTAAATAGAAAAAGAGATAAAAAGCCTTTTTATGCACCCCCCCAGCACTCCAGCCACACCAACATCTTTATTTTTCCAAAACACCACGCGTGTGATTGCTTCGAGGGCTTTACCCTCGCATCTCCCCTCCCTCCGCTTGAAACACGGAAGATATTTGTGTGGTTTGCTTCTCTCACTTCTTTTAAGTCTCAGATCAAATGTCACCTTCTCAGAGAGACCTTCTGTGATATATAAAAGAGCAACCCACCCTTACCCCTGGCCCTCTAGCCCCGTCAGTCCTGCTGTTTTTCTCCTTCTGTCCAACTATATTTGTTTGCCCCTCCTAGAACATAAGCTCCAAGGTGACAGGACTTGACTGTTTTGTGCATGGCTCTGTCCCTGGTGCGTAGACCAGTACCTGGCACTTGGTGGGTGCTGAGTGAGTATTGACTGGATGGACAGACTTATCCATTCAACAACCTGCATTAAGAACTATCCTGTGCCAGACACTGTGCTAAGCGTAAGGAAACAAAATGAACAAGACAAAGCTCCTCAAGCTTGCTGCAGAGTGGGGGTGACAGAGGTGACATAGTAATAACTAATAGTTACTAAATAATTGCTGTGTGCCAGGCACTTTGCATTTCTTACACTATTATAGCACTATGAGTTGATACTAGTTGTACTAATCAAACCCATTTTTAGAAAATCAATGTCAGGCTTACATTATATAGCTTGCCCAAGGGCACTTAGCTAATAAGGTACTGAGAGGAGAGGCTGGGGCTGGGCAGGGGCCAGGGGGGTTTGATCCAAAGCCTTGTTCTGAATCACTGTACCTTGTGGCTCTCGCACCACAGGAAAGAACCCAACTTCCTTATTCAAATAAACGTGCTGTGTGCCTGAAATGCAGTTTTCTCCCTTTTCCTTAGGAGCTGGGTGGGGTGGCATGAGTGGGGGGTAGTGTAGGTGACAGAGACACAGATGCCCGGGGGTCTTAATGTCCATTTGGAAGACAATATGGTGACTCAAACTGTTGAGAGCTATGAATATTACCAATAAAGCATTGAAGTTTTGCGGTGATTTATTAAGTTTATAAATTGCCACGGCTTCATGATGACCCCTGGCTTGCTTAACTTGATGCTTTCCTGAGTGGGAAGGAGGGAGAGCTGGCAGGAGCACACCTGGGAGTGATTCTCACACGTGAACAGCGTCCTCACGTGTGAAATGGCAGATGCTTCCCCAGCACACAAGGGCGGCAGGAAGAGAGTCTTACGGGTTTTCATCCTCCCTGCAGTTCCTCCCGACTTAGAACTAAGTGTGGAGGGAGGGCTTCCTCCTGCTGGCGGTCTGGCCTCCAAGCTACACAGGGAACATGCCGACCAAATGCTCATTTCTGGGGGAGGCTGCAGCCTGAGTGAGCTGAGTTGGGCAGTGTTTAAGAGGTAACCTCAGATATTCTCTCACCCCCCGTTGGCTCCCTTGTGGCCCCTGTGGGTGATTCTGATACGAACTGAATTTGGGAACCACTGACTTAATCCTCCCAGCTGTTTAGGGGAGGGGAGGGAGCATTCACAGAGGAGAAAAGGGGCATTTGTGGCATTGGCAGAGGTGGTGGGAACTACCCATCTGCTTTTACAGTGGGTCCTCCCTGCACTTTTCTTCTTGTGTATTCAAGATTCTTTTATTATGAAAAATTTCAGATGCACACAAAACAGAACAGTAAAATCAACCTTCATATACCTGTCTCAATAATTATTTCATCAATCCCTTTTTTCTTTTATTATTTGAATAGATTTTTTAAAAGAAAATAATTTTATTATTATTTTTTACATTCTAGGATGTTGTGGAGCAGTTGGAAGGGAGCGGGAGAGGGCAAAGGGGAAGGAAATGGGATGGAAGAAGAAGGAAGGAGGAGGGGTGGGATTGAGGCCTGTGGCACCCCCACATCCCCTCAGGGGATTCCAGCGGTGGCTTGGTCATTGCCGTGTTGGGTGCAGATGTCAGGGGGTGTGGCAAAAGCGCCCGTCCCCCACCGTTCCATCTCGGCAACCCAGGACCCTTCTTGCTGTGGCTTGGTTGTCGCTGCTGGGCTGGCTGCAGGTGTCGGGGAGCCATGGCTGAGGCCTGAGGCTCCCCTCACCCTCAAGCCTCCCCACCAGCTCGGGAGGCCAAGGACGCTGCCTGTGGCAGCTCAGTGGTTGCAGCTGGGCTGGCTGCAAGATCCCTTTTTTCTTTTTCCTTTTCTGAATTATTTTTAAACAAATCCCGAAATCATGTCAGTTCACCCCTACATTCTTCCTTGTGAATCTTGTAAAAATATAGACATTTTCTTACATAACTATAATATCCTGTCACATTTAACAAAAGCATTTTTTAAAACACATTTTAAAAGCCAAGTCCTTGGTTTCATCTATTACGCAGTCTGTATTCAAATTTCCCTTGTCTCAAAAATGGCACTTTATAAATGGTTTCTTCAAATCAGGATCCAACCATGATTTTAGTAAAGATTTTTTGCCTGTTTTAAAACTGAAAATGGGATCATGGTGCTCTGCAGTTTGCTTTTTTCCCCTTAGCACTGTGCCAGAGAAGTTTCCATGTTGGACATAAAGAACTATGCCATTATTAACAACCTACAGGGCTTTTCTCCCCCATATTTTAAACCATTCCAGAACTTATGGACATTTAGGTGGTTTCCAGCTGTTTTATTATTCTCTATTACAAGTAGTGCTGTAATTGCTATTTGTTCTTATGAGCTTTTAAAGAAAAATAAAGCCAAACGTAAATATCTTGCCGCCATGGAAAAGCAGCACAGGATCAGACACATCCGCTGGCCCTTGGAAATGGGATCTAATAGCTGAGAGCAGAAAGCGCAGTTCTCAAGCTCCCCTGCCCTCCTAGTGTCCTTCCTAAAGCCATCAGGAGCTGGCAGCAGAGCCAATGCTCTCAAGGCTGCCGGAGTCTTAGGTTGTAAGAAAAACAATTGAGAGTGGAAGGCAGGAGGGAACTCTGAAAGCTACAGGAGACCCGGCTGTGTTTACAAGGAAGGAAATGCAAACCTTTCAAGCTCAGAGGAGTCCCTGGGGAGCTGCTGCTTCCAGCTTCCATTTCCTCCTGCAAACAGGATGTGAAACTATTGTCTTTTCTTGGCTCAGGCTCTTGGATTTAGCTATCCATTCATTTCTTTATTGTAGGCTTTGTGGATCTGGCCTTTAATGTTCCAGAATATAAGGAAGGGCTGGCTTGGTATTTTTTTGTTTTTTTCATTCTCCCTACATCTGAGGAGAGGAAGTCTGGAAGGTTTACTGTTCTCACATTTTCTCACATTCTCTCAGCCCTGCCTTCAGTGCTGTGCCGCTGACACATTTGTGCTTACTCTGCCCTTCGGGGCATTAAGTAATTCCAGGTCTCTGCACGTGAATCACTGCTCTGCTGTGGGAGTGGAGGGTAGGGGGAGCTAAAGTCCAGCTTGCTGGAGGCCTCAGTCCCTGATAAGGACTTCAAGGACACTCAATTTCAAATCTAGACCACATTCTTGGTTCTTTCTCTGCCTTTGAATCGAGTGATTTTTTTTTAATTACAAAGTTTCTTTTAACGAAATAAAAGAAACATAAATTTTACATTTATTCTAGGGAATCTCTTGGCATGTACAATAGACCCATAAGAATGTGGAACATTTTACAAAACTCTGCCCTCGCTCTTGCTGGCCCAGAAGAACCCCCAGATGTTTGTTTGATACGTGTCTGGATGTTCCTGTTTGGGAAGAAGCCCTAGTCTTGTACTTGTAAGCCAGTCCTGAAGGAAGTTGCTCTGGCTGACGGCAGAACTTTCTGAAAAGCTCGTTTAAGGATCTTGGTCCTAATAGATCTGCAACATAACCAGCACCATTTTAGACAAACCCAAGTACAACACGGCGCCACCCACCTACTCCCCTCCCCTTCCCCGTTCTCTTTTACAAGAAGCCTCATGGTTTCGGAGAAAATGCCACATGTGCAGAACTCTTCATCCCCATGACCTAACTCAATCCCCACCCCGGAATTACATCACCCAGCTCGTGGTGTCAACATACCAATATAAACTCTACCATCCCTACACCTGGTGCTGTCCCCCATTTTCAGGGCAGCCCCGGACTGCCCTCCATTTCGAGCACAGCCCAGCAGATTTCTTTCTTTAATAAAGCTTGAATGGTACCCAGCATTTCGGCTCACTTTCTTTCAGGTCCCAAGAATGTAAAGCACCTGTGGAACACAATTACTGGCAGCCAGCAAATGCCACACTACTCAGTATGCCTTAGCCAAGGAAGCTGCCCCAAGCTCTTGGGGTTAAAGGACTATGCAACATCAGTGCAAGGAGCTCCCACAGCAGAGAATGCTGCCAGGAGTCCCTCGGACACGGCAGGACACACCAGGCTCTTGGAGAGGAGGCTGAGCTAATAATTTCATGTTGACTAATTGAGGTTGAGCAAGAGACAAAAGAGCCCAAGGGAGAGAAATGAAATACACTTAGGAGGAGAGCTAGTACTTGGCTGGAGATACCTGGCCTCCTTCCATACCCTCTCTAAAAATACCATAAGAGAGTTAAAGATTTGGGTTCCTATTGTAAATTTTGTCTATGTAAATTCATTTCAAGCTTTTAGATTACGATCCTTCCATGGCTAGCCTTCATGCCTCCTCCTCCCTATCGGTAGGCATGCATTAAAGTCCTCACAAAATGCAGTCTGTTGAGGCAAAGAGGTATATGAAGGAGGATAGAGAAACATAAGCAGCTTAGCCAGTGTGTGACCTTTCTATTAGACACTGAATAATCTGTTATTAAGCACTAATTTGACATCCTGAAATCACATTAGTTGGATAACTATGTATTGGTAAGAGGTTTAGCCTATCTAGCCTGATATATTTTCTCGTATATTAACAACTCCTTTCTGATCTAAGCTGGTATTAGTCTCTGCAGTGGAAATGTCTCAGTTCAACCTTCAGGGGCTCTGTTTTGGCATGTTAAGGT